ATACGGCTAACTTGCTTCCTCAGAAGTGGGAGATGGAAAAGAATGTCTTAGAAAAGAAAGTACCTTAAGTAGTTTGATTTTTTTGGTTTTCATATTTAGAGGGAAATTAGGGTCTGTCTTTAAGACATGCGCATTTCCTTTTGCCACAAAAAGTAATTTTAAAATGGATTTGCCTATTTAAACAATGCAGACTGAACATGGGTATTAAGAGTATTAGAATTTATCAAGCCTAAACAAGACAATTTTCTCTAGAATTGATCCTATATAGATTAGGCAAGGTGACCAGATGAGGTAGAGTGAGCACACTTAAAACAAGCAAAAAAACCCCCAGTGTGTTCTAATGTGAATTCTAGGATAATGGGTGACTAACAGGTTTTTAATGATAGTGCACCCTGCAGGACACATTTCAATGTGAAATACAGAGAGGACTTTTGTGGCTTCCATTAAAACTATTCCTGAAGGTAAATCCCTCCATCCCTCTCAAGAGTCATTCCTCAATGATGTTCTGTATTAGACAGTCATGAGTCACAGATGAAAAAGGCGATAACCTTGGTTGCCTAAAGCTCTGTACATACCGTTAATATCCAATCACTAAGGAGTGAAAAAGCACTTAGTCAAGTAGGGTGAAATGAATTTCCTCTGGCCAAAAGGTGAAAAGTTCATAAAATTCCTTTCATGCAGGGAACCTCAAATCTCCTCATTGTTATGATTTTAGAGACTCATCAAGAAAACGCAATTGTTTTTAATTTACTTGGTCCTTGATTGGTACTGTACTTCAAGCCATTTAAAACATATAAGCTCAAAGTATTTTTCAACAGCTTTCTTATTACATATATAAAAAAAGATAATTAGGAAAGCTCACTATAAGTGCCTGTCTTACAAAGAACTCTGGGCGCAGTGAACGTGAACATGAGCTCGTGATTTCTATCTGTAAAGGTATTATCCACACAGTGTCAACAGCATGGGTTTGGGATATGTAAAATGACAACTACAGCCATCTTGATCAAACTCCAGAAGACTTTTTTGATTAAAGGTCTGCTGCCTACCATATAATTCCAAATAATACTCCTGATTTTTTTTTTTAAAGTTTAATGATACTAAAAATTCAATTAGATGATTTTACTCATACCATCACAGTGAATGTTGAACAAATTGGCAAATATTGGATTTACAGGCTTTCCAGTATTTCTTTCAAAGTCATATTTACTATGATGATAGTTAAATTGTGGCAGGGAGATTGTTGTATTTTTCCTGGTTAATTTGTTCAAGTTTCCTTATTTGGGGGGAGAAGGATTCTGTGGTTTAGAATTGTTGCTAGATCATCTTTCTCAGATGACTGAAGTTTCTTAGAAACAAATACTTTGCCATCTCTGGTAACACAGACTATGAAACATTAACTTAACTTCCAGCACTGCTACAGGTATCTGTACATGTTAGAAACAGGCTCTAAAATACAGACCCTAATACCTTGAAACTGCTTAGTTCATACCCACTGTGTTTTGTTTTTATATTTCCCTTCTACACCTCATGTAAAATCAATCTGACAGATGCTAACACAGATCTGAGATTCATTAGAAAGTCATTAATTATCCTAAAGGCATGTTTATGGATAGGAGCACTGTATATTTTGGGCTGTCAAGACAAATTGACTAAGTGGCTTCTCTGTAATCACCTTGCAACTATGGCAGGCTAATGATAAAACTCCGAGCATGGTATTCCTCTAAATATAACGTAAAATCTAATGTAAGAAAGTGGTCAGTGGAAGTGTTAATGGTGATAATCAAATTGAGCCTTAAATGAAATTTGTAATTTAGATATCAAAGCAATTAAATTATTAACATCCCAAGGCATTTTTCATAAATTAATTTCCCAATTAAAGCTTTTCTATAAATAGTATTTTGTATTGGGCTTTCAACTGGAGAGTCGAGAGTGAGCAGTCCTGAACAGTTAGCTCTCCCTCAGCCATAGAAATGGGTACTCTTAACTCTGACTCTTTTGTTTCATTAGCCTTCCCCTAAAATTCCTTTTCCACTCATTTCGTGGTTTAAAGCCCAACTGTAAAATCTAATGAAAACATTCTAGACTGATTATAGTCACCTCCTTGGCCAAATAGAGGTGTTGTGCTTTATACTGAAGTAATTTCAGAAAGTATGGTTTTAGCAAAAATGGTATGTTCAAGAATACTCAGCTCCGCAGCACTTAGTATGCAGTGATGTAATGCTGTTGCCTCTTGCAGGCTGTGTTAGAACAATGCGGTTAAATGAAGCTAATGCCTTCGTGTCTGCCTGTGGCAGCAGGACACTAGTTTTCACTCACTGAATTCTTTCACTTCAAATATGCGTTGAGAGTTATTTGCCAGTGCAGTTGCTTTCCTCGCTGCTCTTCATTTCTGTTCTGTTTATGCTACAGTTGCGTTATTAGCTTTTGGGCATGCTAGTTTAGCTTTAAATTACATCTTGCACTGCGTGAAGTAGAAGGAGGCATTGCATTAATTTAGCCAGTGCAAATTTCAATAAACCTACTCTTCAAAACATTATCATATGTAACAAGATTGATCCCAGTGAGTTAATATTTTAAATGCACAAGGTCAAGCATGTCTTGTTTATGTTTCATGGCCATGTCTGATAGTCAGTTTTCCTGCTGTTAGCACCCATCAGTCCAAATAATCTCCATGTTCTACTAATTAGAAAAAATACACTTTAGTGTTATGCCATGGAGGAGAGTGTAAAGGTAGCTATACAGAAATTTTTCAGTCTCTTACATAATGCAATGTACTCATACAACGCTTCTCAACCAATGCTTTTCTGAACAGAAAGTTACAATGGACTATATAATGTATTAATAGTAAGTTTAAATGTCTCTCTACGTAGTTGTGGTTTCACTGTCTGCTAAGCTTTACTTTTCCTGAAGTTTTCTCCAAGTTGTGTTGCTAAGATGTAAAACTTAGTAAGATTTTAATGATTTGCCAAAGCGACTTTTTAAAAAATATTTAACTATGGTAGCAGTGAGAAAACAGCAAAACCATTAACAATAATCTTTACTTTTGACCTGTGATGCAGAACGGCAATTAATAGGATGAATAGTGTTTCCTTGTGTATGCAGAGTCAGATCTTGGGCCCCTCAGGGACCCAGTCCACTCAGCCCAGAAGGGAATCTTGAGGAGGCAGTGGTTGGACACGTTTATGTCTCTCTAATCCTAGTATTGATGTCCCAGAATAGTTTCTTAGAACAAGGTACGACACAAGAGAGTTAACTTGTGCAAGGTTTATTACAGAAGTAGCTGGAGAATTTACAGAAAAGCACAGATCATCTAGTGCTATCCTGTATCACTCATGTGTCTCCTTCCAAACAGAGAACTCCATAGAGGTGGGAAATCCTTCTTTGGGCCTGTTTCAATCTGGAAACAGAAGCAACCTTTGGTTTAATCTTAGGAGACCTGTCTGCTGAAGAAATATGTTCTCAGAGCTTGTTCACAGGAGCCTGAGCTTGCTCTCAGAAATCTGGCCAACTGCCCAGTCAAGCTGTTGCTTGGGTGTCAACTGGCTGGCTTTTATTAGTAAAGACTTGTGAGCGTGGGTCCAAAAACCAGTCTAAATTTTTAAGTGGATTTATATGAAGTTCTACAAATTTAGATGTCAGGCTCAGAATAATTTTTCACATGTCAGCTTTCTGGTAAAATATTTACACCGTCTCTAAAAGCCCATTTATGATATAGTATGACTTTGTAATACATAAAGGGTTGCTTGTAGAACATGCATAGAATAGAAAAAGCAAGGATCTATATATTGTATGTTCATACTACTGACTTGCTCTATATTGCATATGTATACAAGCAGTTGGAAAAGGGCCGGTCTTATATTGGTTTAACTCAAAACAGAGTCTGCTTAAAAGGAAGAAAAGAAAAAAAAAAAAAGGGGAACATGGCTGTTCAACCATTATTTGCTGTTTATAAGATACAGCACTACAGAAAGCCTGAAGTGATGTTCTGCTTAAAATAATTTCTGTTGGTTCATTGGAGGGAGTAACTGAATTCCTTCGTTTATTAACCTCAAGGTGCATGAGGCACACAGAGGAGATATAGATGGCCTAAAGTGCAACTCTTGTCACTCGTGATGGCCGTTCTTATATCCTGTGAATGCAGGCACACAAATGTGGAAGGAGCTGCTATATAATTTCTGGAATAACTGTCTTTGGAAAGAGCCTCTTCTGGTGATGTTACCTCCCCAGGAAGTTAGAACTGCCTGATACTTGAAGGAAGCTCTTCTCCAAAGATGCTACTACAATCCAGACAACTATGGCTCTCCAGGGCAGGTTTGGGTTAAACAGCTAAAATGGTAGTCGTCATCCTTCACAGATTACTGATAAAAGATGAACAATCCCAAACAATTTTCTACCTATCCTAAATTAGGAGATTAAGTACAATTACTAGGTATGTCAGAATGGTATGTTTTCTTCAGTTCTGCTTTCTGATAGAATAGTGGGGTTAAGAAAGCTGAGAAGTGAGACTTGCTGAAAAATATGGAAAGGTTTAAAGATTTTTTGCACCACTTCTTCTCTCTCCCCCTCGCCTCCCCCCGCCCCTTTCTGTTTACTCTGATCTGAACAGTCTCAAGGTCAGTAATAAATGTAACCTGAAAGTTCTTGAAAAAAGTATATATTTTTCTCCTGGAAGTGAAACTTTGACTTGTAAAATCATTTCTTTCAAAGAAAGATGTTCATAAGTAATTTAACTTGTGTGTTTCATTAGTATGCCACCAATATGATAAATTTTAATGTGAATATTAGTAAATAAGAATTGGCTGTACACATACCTTTATTTAGTAAAGATATATTCTGCTAAGGAAAACTTGAACTTAAACTAAACAAAGTCTGTCTCTGTACTTAGAGTTTGTGTGACCTGCGTTTTTGTAGAGGGTATAGGTCTAGCAGTTTTATTTTCTTCTTTAACAGCCTTTGCAAGTGCAGAACTGTAACACTCAGAATATTGGAAAAGTGCTTACCATGGAGGTGAATCAGGATACATGACGTTGACCTGAGAAAGTGTATCCAGATAGGAACCAAAATCAAAAGCTGGCGGAAACTCCTCCATGCAGGTGGATCTCAGCTCTCCAAAAGAGCCACCATAAGAGAAGCCATCTGGAACTGGAAAACAAGCAATTAATACTTGCTGCTCTTTTCTTCCATGGTGGATTCTCTGAGACAATATCAGTGTTTATAACACTACCATAAATCAGAAAATAAAACCTATCTGAGGCAGAGGAATTACTGGTGTTCTGGAACAATCAGGTTTTACAAGACATTTCTATTCCTTTAAGAGCAAGTTAGCATCATCTGTAGGTGAACTGTGGTGTTTCAGGCTACGGCACAGGGACTATCTATTTAGTGCTGCCCTACAAGATGCAAGTGTCTAAAGCTTTTCTTGTGCCTCAAAGGCTGAAAAGGAGAGGCAGTTCTACTGCATGCAGCTTCAAACGTTATCAGGATTGCTGAAGTTCCCAGGAGTTGCATACATTGAAACCTCGCCAATTCTGTGAAGGTTTTTAAAAGGAGGCTTAGGTGTTTGATTGTAGGTATGTGTCTTGAGAAAATGCTGTTCTCAATAAAACACTCACAAAAAGGGGAAAAACTGTCAAATAATAGAGAAAATCATCTTGCTGTCTGCTCCAGGGCTTTCTTAATGCTTTCACACAAGAGTTTCATAGCTCCAGAAATACCAACAAGTTAGTGCTATTTTCTGTCTTTGAGGATAGTTAGTTAATGCTCAACATTCCGGGGTAAATTTCCATAAGAACGTCCCAAATTGTGGAAATGCAGCAATCCCCTCACCCCCCGACAATTGTCTTCCAAATAAAGTGATCCCTCCTTTTCACTCGATGCATTAAAATAGCACCTGGCGAGAAAGGCCAGCTTCTAAAGTGACATCAAAGTAGTGCCTCTTTCAACAGAGGGTAAAGGGCTGGACTTACTTGAACTGCCTGTTCCTCCTTCTGGCAATTTTCACCTCTGCCAATTTATTCTCGAGGAATTTACCAGGACTAATCCAGTCTATCATGCACTGTGCTTTCCTTTTGCTTGATAAGTGAAGGAAGCCAACTTCACAGTGACTCCCGCTGCTCCCATGCTGGCCAGTGGAAGTATGCTGAGATATTAGGATGGCGTGTGCTAATGTAAAATTTTCACTTGGGTAGACTGGCATAATTTAGTTTAAGATTATTCTTTTGAATTTCTCTGAAAATATCACCATCTTTTCTTTTTCCATTTCTCTAGCATTGTTATTTCTAACAAGCAGTTTGAAAATTGTCCTTTATGTTTTTGCCTGGCTTCAGGGTTTTTAAAGGACCTGAAATTAACATAGCAATAAATTTAAATGTAGTGATTGAATCTTAATGGTAAGTATTTTATCATGCCAAAATATTGCTGTTCATGGGTAAAACAGTAACTCCAATTTGGGTTTAACTATTTAATCCCAAATTTAGCTGCTGAAAAGTAGGAAAAATAGATGTTAGAATAATAGCAGACACTAGTTTTTTGGATTTTTTTTTTTTCCTTTTTCCCCTCTGTACGTTACCATGCATTTCACTTGGAGTATAAAATTTATTCCCAAAACATAGATGTTATTCATTTATCTGGACAAATGTTTCTGGGAAAGCCAAAAAAAATTATTCCTGGCTCCAGGTGGTCAAACTGATCCTAGGAAATGTGTTTCTTTTAGACATGAAAATTCCTGGTCCAAGTAATTAAATGAAGTCCAACTGACTTCAGTGGATACTTGATTTAGCTCAGTGAAATCAAGATTTGAGCCAATGCATTTTTATGTGGCTCACTATTACTATCTTTTCTATATAAAGAAGAAAACTCAACAATATGCAAAGAACTGTACTCTCATAACAAACTGCAGATATAGGAGCCTAACCACAGATGACAAAAATTGTTGATGCTCCACTCAATTCATTAATCCATTTATCATTTGAATTTTTACTAGCTGAAAACTTAAAGTAACTTTCTGTAACTGTTTTTTCCTTAAATATAGGAATAATTAGATTCTGTCATTTCCTCGATTAAGTGGCTTTTAACATCTGGTCAGCAAACCCCAAATTGGCCAAAAATATAATTCTACAATTAACTCTTTCATATTCCCAAATCCTTTTAAAGGGGATTTTTGTCAGGGGGTAAGGGGATAGGAATTGGCACTTTTTTGATAGCAAATCAGTCTCCTTAATGATGATGACAGTTGTAATGACATTGATGTCATTAATGACACCATTAATGATCATGACAGTTGTAATGATATTTTGATGCCCTGTTTTTCTGTTTATATCCAGTTATTAACTTTTGTGGTCAGAAAAGGAGGAGTTGCCCAGTCATTGTTGTAAGTTGGTGCAGAAGTGAAAAGATTCCTGGCTTTTCAACAAATAGAAACTACATTATATGCTATACCAAGGCTATAATGGGATATGAAAATAAACTATCAGGAGTCTAGCGATGGAGAAGAAATCTTATACCATATCAAGGGAAAATAAGCTCTTTAAGAAATGCTGTCGGCATTGGCATTATGTTAACCACTAACTATGGAGCTTGTACTATGTGAATTCAGTGCCAGCATCTTTGTGCTACAAAGCTGCCTGTGACCTACTCATCCTATTTTTTTTTTTTTTTATCCCTTGCAGAGCAGCCAGATGCTTTTTGTTGCCTGTAGCATCAGATATTAATAAAGTTAAGCATTATCTTGCTATAACTAGCTATCTTACCATAAACAGCATCTCTCCTTAGATGTGGGTGTCTTAACCGTCCGTCCTTTCGCAGACTGCCAACAATGATTGTAACACAGGATAGAAATAGCACAAGTCCGATGACTACTCCAGCCACCAGAAGGGGTGAGACAAGTAAACTGGTATCATTTCCATTTTCACCATAGCTGGGGAATTCACTGGTTGGGCTGCTCTGGTTCAAGTAAACTTCTGTACAGTAGAGAGAGAAAGAATGTGTCAGTTGTGAAAAGAGACATTTACGAAGTGTGGTTATACAGATGCCAAAACTAAGGGCTTTCAAAGTCCTAAAAGAGAGCCTGAGACAGATCCATTGTAAGTCTTATGAGGAGCGGCTGAGGGAACTGGGGCTGTTTAGTCTGGAGAAGAGGAGGCTGAGGGGAGACCTCATCGCGTTCTACAACTACCTGAAAGGAGGTTGTAGCGAGGTGGGGGTTGGTCTCTTCTGCCAAGTAACAAGCGATAAGACGAGAGGAAATGGCCTCAAGTTGCGCCAAGGGAGGTTTAGACTGGACATTAGGAAAAACTTCTTTACTGAAAGAGTGGTCAGGCCTTGGAACAGGCTGGCCAGGGAAGTGGGGGGGGCGCCATCCCCAAGACGTGTAGATGAGGCGCTTAGGGACATGGTTTAGTGGGCATGGTGGTGCTGGGTTAACGGTTGTACTTGATGATCTTAGAGGTCGTTTCCAACCTTAATTATTCTATGATTCTATGATTCTATGAATTCATGCTTTTATGGACTACCTATTTATTAGACCGATTTCTGGAACTGTTAGTAACTGACTCTGAGGAAGTCACTCGGCAATTGTTTCCCTGTTATTGGGGAATATCCTGCTGGAGTCAATGATGTATGTTGCATAATGGTAATTTTGATTGCTTATTCCTGCAAAGATTCTTTGTATCATGAATTGATTGATGCTGAAGGAACTTCAGTGCACAAGGAGGCATGTGAAAACTCAAAAATTTGGGCTCCGAGTGGAACAGAGGAATCATGTCTTGTTACTAGGTGTGAAAAGACTCCAAAGTTTTGCAGAGAAAGTTTTGGGCAAGAATGAGACAGAGGAGCATGCTTTTGTAGCATAGGGCATGCTTTAGTTTGTGGGATGAGTCAGCACCCTAAGAAACTGATTTGGAGCAGAGGGGGGAAGAGACTCATTCAGAGTGGGATTCTTAGCGAGGCACTGGATTTTCATCACAGACATGGCTTTTTAGTAGGCAGAAGCTTGGGCAATATGGCGGTTGTGTTGGCCTTAACATCTAATAAATTGTTGAAATAGAAAACCATCACAATGAACACTTAAAATTTACTCATTAAAAACCTGAAAGTAAATAAACTTAATTTATTGCTCTTTGGGCTCCCCTGTATGTTGAAACAGTAACCCAAGGATGGTGCCAAACCTGTGCTTTAGTCCAGGCTTTCCTAGTGTTCAAGCTGGCTACATGCCTTGTGGAGAGGTTAGGTTTGGTGCAGCCCTTCTCATTTCATCCTCCCTAGTTTGGCCTGATAGTGTGTAAGGAAGGAGCTGTGTGGGCAGGCAGACCTCACCTTAAAACAGTGTGGAAGTATTGTGGTGCAGTAGGTACACCCTGTGCTTCACCAGGTGACCACAGACTGAGCTGAGCTCTATTTGGCTTGTATGCCTTTGTTCCAGGCAAGGAGTTCTACATAGCAACATTACTATTCTTACTTCCACCCCATTTTGATTTTTCAGTCAAAATGCATTTGTATTGTATGTGGCAAAAACTGTAACTGCTTTCCTCTGTGTTTAAAAAAAAAAAACAAACCAAACCCAAAAAACCCCCAAACAACTCTCCAGATGTATTATTTAAGTTCAATAATAAATCTGCTTAAGGGAGAGAAATGGAAACTGCAAGAATATCCAAACTATGAAAAGTCAGAATAACTCCAGTAATTTACTCCCAAGTCAAATACCCTTTTGAGACAAGCTAGAGTATCAAAAGTTAAACAATAAGTTTCATCTAGAGAATCAACTGGTGACATATGATTATATGTGAATTAATTGCCCATAGATGTATTTATGGGGGATTGTACTGCTAATGGAGGGGAGGTAAATGTTTGAAATGATGGGATAAAGGATTCAGGATTTCAGCAGATAGAATCCCTGCTTAAGTAAAAGGCTCCGTATGTTTATTTGCGGACAAAAGTTTGGGCATGCAGTAAAGGTAAGCAAATTTGGGCCTAGGCCTTGAAAATAAGTTGCAATAAGCACCCATTTTTCTATCCTTAATCCACAGCTGATTAAAAAACAACCACCACCCTCCCCCACCCCCCCAAATTAAAAAGAAATCTCCATTAGCTGCTCAGGATCAGACTATGTACTGAGTAAACCAGAATTTTATTGATGCAAGAAATTATTGGAGATGCATATATACCAAGACTAGCTTTCAAATATGGCATGGATATATTTTTATATCTGGCTCTATGCCAGTTGGACAGATAAATAATTTGTTTCCTACAGAAACTAAGGCTAACAAAATTTTGCTCTTTTGAATGTTCTGTAAAGTGAGTATGTGCTTTTGGAAGTGCAAGTGCTTTTTAAATGGATAGATGTTAGCAGATAGTTTTCAGCAATGTTTTCCCCACTCTCTTCCTTTGGGATATACCACTTAGTGTCTTGCAGTCACAATAAGCTTAAAAAGAAGATGATGGCTTCAAGCCAATGTATATTATCATTGGCTAATGCTTGACCTTGAGAGAACTGACTGGAAATATAAAAAACCTGGGGAATTAGCATGTAGTATGTTCTTTTTTTTTGTTAATTTTTTAGAAGCACTTGACTGTTGGCTGAGAATCTTTATGAGCAATTAAGATAGACGGCCAAGAAACGTGCTGAGCTTTTACAAAGCATTTTATGCCAAAAGAGAAAACTGAATTTTCTGAAAATTAAACTGATTCTGTAGCATTAAATCAAAAGGGTATGGAAAACTGTCCTACTTAATACTCTTAGTGCAAAGACTTTTTGGGTATGGGATATATGTTTGAAGGGTAGATTCTGCTGGTCTTACGGCCATTGCACTAGAACTAAACTTCCTCAAAATTTACAAAATTCTCATCGTGTTTCTCATTTGTACAGTTTTTTTTAACTATCTCTGTTGGTAATGTGTCCAACAAGTGTGTACTCCTGCTGGCTTTTCATAGTCTTGTTTATTCAGACTTTTGCAAATTCTGTCTTTGAAAGATGCAAATATCACAGCAGTGCCAGTTAATTTAAACCACAATCGCAGGGAATTGACATGTGAACTAAAAGTACTGGTGGATACATAGTGGTAATTTTGGCTGATTTGCAAAGATAAAAGGGAAGAATCAACTTTGTTGCCATCATGATGAGAACATGAGCCTTGGGTGTGTGGTTGCTCCATGCACTACCAGGCTTCAAATTGAAGACAAGTAGTACTGAAACTGGAGTCAGTGATAAACTTCCTGTCAAGTTCAGTGGGAAAGAAAAGAGGCCGCAGTGAGTGCTTTCAGATCTCTTGAAACTTGGACAGCTTCTAAATGATCCTCTTAACAGGAAGGGACTGTCTAAAGAAAAGAAGAGTAGACTAGAATTTTTTTTTTTTTTGGTTGTTGTTGTGTATCGTTTAGCTATGGAAGCCAGCTGGTATCTTAACACATTGACTATTTTGAAGATTCCTGTGGTGCCACTCAGTGTGAGCACCAATAGTTGGTCCTATTTTGCTTTATAGGAATTTAACATGTGACTTCAAATAGAAAGTACTCTCTTACACTCTCCACTTGTACTTGAGGTGTTATTTTTTATTTCAAGACAGCCCATCTATCTAGCACATTTTCAGGGCTTCTTTAGCTGTTCCAGATCTCGTCTATTTTATCTCTTGTTTCTTACCATCGTGAATCTTTCTCTTTTTTTAATGCTCTTACTCTAATTGAACCCAGTCTCTGGTAAAGACAAGATATATTGCAATATTGCTCTTGTTAGAAGGAATGAATAACTCCCCTTAGCCTAGATCCTAAAACAATATGCAGCTGATAAATTTCTCTTACGGTATTATTTTCAATTTGACACTGTGAGTCTAGTCCTCCAGACTTTACAGACTGACTTACTACTATGGGAATTGCTCAGGTAACTAACAACTACAGAATGAGATGCTATGTTGATATAAATTCTTTGGTGTTGAATTTTTGGGGGGCAAAAGATGTTTACATTACTTTCGGCAAAGGAATGTCTTACAGATTTTCCTCCTCTTATCCAAATACATCTTCTTTTGATAAACTGTTCATTTCTGTATATAAAAATGCTATGTTTTTAAATTCAGAATAAAAGTATCTGGAAATTCATGTAAAACCCATAAATATAACAGCAATAGCAGAGTGCTAACTTTTTTTTTTGAGGTAAGTTGTATTTTTTTCTGTGAAACTGTAAATTGTAAACAATTCATACAAGTATGAATACTTTATATCTAATCCTCTAAATATGAATTATATTGGATGCACAAACCATTGCTTTTATCCAGTGATGGGAGCTGTGTAACTAACCAGACACAGCACAAATGGAACATGCTGGCTGTTGCAGCCGTGAATACAATGAAAGGGGCACATATGGCTGAGCGAACACTTAATTTAGAATGAGCGTACTAGTAGAAAATTGCCTACACTATCCATTCAGTGTTAGACAATAAATTATCAACCTGCAAAATCCGTTAAATATCACATTATATTATTTTACCCATTGCTCCTGCATCTCAACAGACCAACTTGTAAAGTAACTCCACGTAACTGAAGGAGGTGTAGTACAACTCGACTTTTTTGGTGTATGTTGTGCTTTCTCCTTCTCATTAACATGTCTTTGGAGGGACACTTCTTATCCCTTTCTAACTTGGCAGTAAGTAATGTTGAAGTTTCAGTTGGGTCAGATCCTGTCAGAAATGTCCTGGTGTGCAGATGTGTCATGGGAGCTTGGTTCATCCAAGATATAGCCCCCCTTTATTAGGAGTGGCTTCTCTCTTCTTCACTGGCTTTTACCTGCTTGTATCCCAGATGAGACAGAAGGGAAAATGAAAATCGCTTCTCTGCATACTGAAATAGGTGTGAGTTTTTTGTTTTTGTTTTGTTTAGTTTTTCTGAAGGCACATCAGCTCTAGTAAAATCACAACAGTCCCTGTAATTGATAGGGTTTTCTTTGTTCCCTTTAAAAATCAAGACATGATTTTAAGGCTGGATCTTACAAAGATAACCAAATCTCTTCCCCTGGTTTAAAATCTCTCTATCATCTTAAGAAAGATGATAATTCATGTTATCACTGGTGGA